GCATACATATTAGCATAACCAGTGGACCTGGACACTGGGGCAGTGGGGGCTTGTCCTGGGGGTGGGAGTGGCCAGGGAGGAGTCTATGGGGGGAATAAAGAGACATATGTAACACTTTAAAAAATAAAAAAAGAAATTAAAAAAAATTTACAAACTCTGACCTTTATCACAACAAATATAATGAAGTTTCTGATTGTGAGAGCATGTGCTTGACACAGGAGAAGAGAAAATCACAAGAGATGAAGAAAAATAAGCATAAAAATATAAATTACACAAGTTGGCATTTGTTAAATGAAGAAACAGGTGGGTGATGTAAAGTTCAAAGTCAGGATTAATCAGTGAATATCCGGGTAGTTCACAAAGGCCTCAGAAAGGATCAGAGTATTTTGGGCTTTGAAGGACCGTGAGACTTAAAACAGAGGAGAATATTATAGGCACAAGAGAAATATTATTTTTAAAGTCCAGAAATGAAAGTGTAAAGAGCTGTTGGTGAAACAATAAATTAATTTGACTTGCACAAAAGTCAAGAAAAAAAAAGTTTTAAGAACCTGGAGGCTCCTTTAAATTCAAAGCAAGGGAATGGGGGCTTTGGACAGGGAAGGTAATGGACAGATTGGGGGAATGTAAACAGGAGAATTGCTTCCAATTGTGTTTCTCAAAAGACCACCATAAACAGATTCAAGCTCTGAATAATCTGGCCAGCCCTTTCTGGACCAACTTCCCCCCTTCTTATTAGCCCTGTGTTTTGAAAAAATTCCGTTCAAAAAGTTTTGTAAAGCAGAAACAAAGGGCAGAACTGATGGGATTAGTGCTTTCCTAGCGGTGGAACCATAAATGAAGAAAGAAGTGATCGTATTCACAGCGTTGGGGAAAGAGATATGGATGAGGCAAGGATTCTATCTTTGGAGGAATTGGTATTGACAAGGAGAAAATTCTGAGATGTCCTAAATTAAATTATAGCAGGACAGAGGGTGGAAGGAAGAGACAAAAAGGGGTTAGTCATTAACAACTGCAGTGCAAAAGCAACAGAAGACGGCAAACACTCCTTAATGTATGTTTGAATTATTAAATTAGCCTGCAGGTGGCTAGTTCTGAAATTATCTAAAAGGCAAGACTAGCCAGCACCATAGAATCCAAGGAGCCTCTGCTGATGGTTTACACAGGAGTTTTACAGACTCTGCTGCCCCACTCCCAGAACCAGACCCCATTCACCTTCTCCTACCTCTTTGTTTATAGATAATGTAAATGCTTTCTGAAAGGCTTTCTCCCTGCTACTTAATGTATAAAAAACACTTGCAAAGTCCTCCAGAATCAGACATGTTGTCTTTCCTACATGGCCATGCTGCTGGTGGTTTAGACTCCATGTGCCAAGACCGGTGTTTTTTGCTAGCAATGGCCTAATAAGCTTTTTCTTTAAAAAACAAAATAACAAAACAACTTTCAGCCGTGTAAGTTAAAATATTTTTTAACAATACTGAAAATTTTATTAACCAATATCACCCCAACAAATTCAATAAAAAAAGAAAGAGACTGGTCAGATTCTATGCCAGTCAGCGTCAAAAGCTCCGCCTTCTAGGCAGCGATTGGCTCCTTGCAATTCACCCAGATTTGGTTCTCAATGGTCGGTTTCTATGCCAGTCAGCATCTCCGGGCCTATCTCAGGGCCTGATCGGAGAGGCAGGGCTGATCAGCAGCCGCTCCAGGCTGCTGGCTAGCGGGCTGAACTGCTGACCTCCCGGGGGGAGAGAGAGATAGGCAAGGCTGCTGTTGAGGCCCTGGGAGAGAGAGAGGCAAGGGCGGATCAACAGCTGCCACGAAGTCTGTGGATCAGACCCTGCTTCTCTCTCCAGACCTCAACTGCCTCTGCCTGTCTGCCTGATCGCCCCTAACTGCCATTTTTATAACTTTTACCACAGAAAGTTTTAAGGGAGGACCAGGAGCAATATAGGTCACCTTTTGGGGGAATAAGGAGTTTATATCCCCCACATCCCCCAACCAAATCTGACACTTATAGTCATGTAACCTCAGAATCATGTAATGCTCAAATGTTGCTATTCTGTTTAATGAAACACTGAGTTGCTTTTTGGAGACAACAGACCAAAACTTCAAGTCATGCAGCTAAAGCATCTGCAGAGGAGAGATCTTTGATCTCCAGCAGCCAGGAACCAAAGTCTTGCTTCACCACCCCTCACTTCACCCCACACTCCCCCACACATGGAATCAAAGGATTAGCAGTGGTTCTCAACCTTCTGGCCCTTTAAATACAGTTCCTCATGTTGTGACCCAACCATAAAATTATTTTCGTTGCTACTTCTTAACTGTAATGTTGCTACTGTTATGAATCGTAATGTAAATATCTGATATGCAGGATGGTCTTAGGCGACCCCTGTGAAAGAGTCGTTTGACCGCCAAAGGGATCGCGACCCACAGGTTGAGAACCGCTGGACTAGGGTATAACTAGACCTTGAACACCAGAACACTTTCAGAAGCAGAGGGTCTGGTTGTCCAGGAAGATCCTGCGTTGGTGCTCCTTATCATAAATGGCCAAGCTCCAAGGTCCTCTGATAAAACTTGCCTCACCAATGCTTCCACATAACATAGTGTTCCACTGAAACGCTTTAAATCCCTGTCCGAACCCTGGATCAGGGAGTTTGGACTTCGAGCATCAGCTTCCTTTTCTCCTGGGTGGTGCCATCTCTATATAGAAAAGCCTAAGCAACCATTATGACCAAACGACCAAAACAACTGGAATGACCAGATGACCAGCGGTAGCTATGACGCGCACTGACCCAGATCTTGCTGCTGGGGCCCTGACAGCCCCGAATCTGGTTCACCCACACCCCGGACCCAGACAGGAGGGAGGAGGGAGCCCAATTCCTTGTGGAATTGGCCATTGGTCAGCTTGCTGCCGACGCTAACCTCCCTCGGTTCCTCCCCCCAGCAGGCTGCCCCCCCCCATCAGCCTCGATCGCTGGCCAGGCCAAGGGACCCCACCCGTGCACAAATTCATACACTGGGCTTCTAGTTCATAATAAAATAACCAATCTTTCCCCACTGCAATTCTTAATGTTTACTGTTTGGCTTTGCTAGCGCAAGATGAACGAACTCTTTCTGTTCTGTAACAATCATATCTTGTATGAAAGTTGCTGAGCTAGTTATCTGGCAAAAAAGACAAGTGAGTTTGGGTAGCCTCCACCCTCCTTCAGCGTGGAGTGGTTTCTAGAGTTTCCTGCAGAAAATGGCAAGGGTTTAAGGAATTTTGCTGGTAGTCCCAAAGAGGGCCACTGCTTTGGCAATAGAATCTTGGCGGCAGCAGGAGTTCTATTTGATCATGGCATTGGAATGTCTATTGGTGGGATGTTCTGAGTTGGGGCAAAATTTCAGCTTCATTTGGATCCCTGTTTTCCCTCCCTCTCACCTCTCCACCCTGCCCCATTCCTCTTCTCTCCTGACAATAAAGAAAATATAGTACAGACATGCTTGATCAATTTTCTACCTCTGACTTTTGTAATACTTGATAGAGACTATAAGCTCCACAAGGCCTAGGTCTTGTCTGTTTCTGTTCACCTTTGTACCCCCAGGACAGACACAGTGCCTGGCATGCAGCATGTTTTCAATGATTATCTGTTGAATGATTGAATGCTTAAATGAGTGGTTTAACTGGACACATGAAAATAAACATACATGTAGTAAAAACATTATTTATTCACTTGCTTTTTATTCACTCTTCCACAAATATTTACTGAGCACTTATGACAGACACACAGTTAGATGCTAGGAGTACAAAATCCCCGAGTAAAATAATCTAACCCAGGGGTCTTTCCCAACGAGGTAAAGTCAAAGAAATAGTTCTTTATTCAGTTGGTAGAATGACTCGAGTCCTCTGCATATAACTGTACTAACCCCAGAAAAGTGGAAAGAAATGGAATACATTTCCTTTCATCACAGCACTCTCAATCTGCAGTCCAGAGAACACAGCCGGGTGCAAAATACTAAACTTTCATGCAATGACACATTCACGAACAAGAAAATTATTAATATACCAACAACTAGACCAAAACACTGGAGCTCTCTGAGTAATTCAGTGATCATTACTCATAATGTGTCTGTCAGAGTTTCCATCTGCCCACCAAGCTCACCCCACCCTCTGCCACAATAACTCCTCTCATGCTGAGCTCACAGTCTGTGTCTACATCTGTGTCTACAGGCCCCTGTTAGTCTCTCTTTCAAGAAACCAGTTTTTTTCCTTCTGAAAAAAAACGCAAATTGTATTTCCTTTGGAAAAATACAATTTGCAATTACATATATATATATATATATTTTTTTTTTTATTGATTTTTTTTCAGGTGAAGTTTTTAATTCAAAGATAAATCAGTCCTTTTAAGAAACCAAAAATATTTTGACAGGTTTATGTTTGATTTTCAAAAGCAATACCACTTTTGTGTACTGAAAAATAAAATCTTTAAATTTGACTTGTTGGTCCCATTCTTCATCTACTACTAATTAATGTATTTGCTACTATTTACAAATAAAAATGTATCTTTGTAATTCCTTTGCTAAATCCTAGTCCTCTATGTATTAACCTGAATAACATGCATATTTTAATTTTTAAGGCAGATGGTAAACTTTTCAATAGGTCTTGTTAGATTTCATCTCATCATGGGGCAAACACTTTCACAAAATGTAATAATTCCTTTTTTAAGGTTGATGTAAAGAGAACTTGAGCAACTAAATAGCAAAAGTACATAGGCAGTATATATGTTGCCTAAGATGCTATGATTATGTTCTCTGCTTTTCCATTTGGCCAGGGTGGCTACAGTGACAACAGGAACTGGTACAAAGCCTGAAAATAAAATGTGAACCCAAATCTCAAGTGCATTTTAGGAAAAGTACCAATTGCCCAGCTACCTCTTCACAGCAGCTGCAAAGGGAGAAATGTTCTTCTCTCATAAGACTTTCAGTTCCATGACGTTACATTCACACCTGCTAAACTAGGTGAAGAGCTTTAGACCAACTTAAACAGCAAACTACTTTTGTTAATACTAAATACTATTTTTCTCTTAAAGCAAGAAAATTCTGGCATTTCCAGTGTCAGGAAGCACAAATACTATTAATCATTCTTTGCACTTAGACGCTCCTCTTTATCCTGTCCTGAAGGATGAACAAAAGCTTGAGGTGCATGGTTCAGAAGGTAAACTGCAGCATGAAGACCGCCTATGTTCACCCAGACAGTGTGCACTTTCCACCATACATGTTCCATTCCAGATAATGCCTTCGTAAAGCATTTCTTGTCCTGAGTAAGTAGTGCAGCTCGGCCTGTCCCTGGTTTACAGATACGGCTCATCTCCCATAGGCAAGCTGGGTAAAAGTTCCAGTTTCTTTTCTTGGAGCCCATCCTTTTCCCAAATGGCATGTCTGTTACAATAATGTCCACAGAGCCAGTTCTTAATGGCAGATTGCAGATATCCCACTGAATAGCATCTATGGGCAAGCCCCAGGACAATTTGCCTTCTTTAATTTGGCTCTTTGTCAGTAAAGATGAGATGTTATTTGCTGCTCTATTCACAGCCAATGGATTATTATCACCAGCAATATGAAAGCAGTTAGACCATTCAGTAGCCCCCTCTATTGGTATTGCCCCTGTTCCACACATCGGATCAACTATTATATCAGAAGGTTGAGGAGCACAGAGCCGGAGCATCCCATAAGCAAGAGTAGATCTTAGAGTTGTAGGTCCAAAATGTGTGATATTTCTTCGGTGGAGACTCTCTTCTGTCAATGCAATGCCCACAATGACTTCATTATCATGGATATTCAAAAGCACCTCCACATCAAAGTTGGTCATGTCAGCCTTCCACTTAAAATAATCTTGAACAGCACCCCCAAAATCTCTTGCAGCCTCACTTGAGGAAACGCAATGTTTCTCTCCTGCCCTTTTTTTATTGATTTTTTTACAGAGAGGAAGGGAGAGGGATAGAGAGTTAGAAACATCGATGAGAGAGAAACATCGATCAGCTGCCTCCTGCACACCTCCTTGTCAGGACCAGCCTGACAGGTTGAGCCGGGCTGAGGTAGGGAGGTGGGAATTGAGAAAAGAAAGAAAGACAGGAGAGCAGGATCAGGAGGACTGCAGCTCAATCGAGGAACTGCAGCAAGTTTATTAACCACACAATGCTATTTATACACAAGACACTGAATAGGAGGTCTGTCAAGAGGAATGTATTCTTTGTTCCTCTTAATCTCTAAGACAGAGCAGAAGGACAAATTCTTGGTACAGCAAATCTCAGTAAATAGTTACAGACTTCTTGGTAAGCCATGAAAGGCTGTTCTCATTCTACAAAGGTTGCTCTCATTCTACTGATAACCGCCATCCAAACAAGCCTGGGAAAACTGTGGGTAAGGGTCCCAGCCTTGCTAGCCCCTTCAGGTGCAAGGACCCTGTCAGCTTACACCTGGTCTCCAACACCTCCTACTGGGGATGTACCCACAACCAAGGTACATGCCTTGACCGGAATTGAACCTGGGACCCTTCAGTCTGCAGGCCAACGCTCTATCCACTGAGCCAAACTGGTTAGGGCCATATATATATTTTTTTGTTTCTAGTCTTTCTACTTTACTAACCTACAAGCTCCAAAAACAGGAAGACTTTGTTTTAATCAGGCTATCTTTCAATTGCCTTGCACTGTGCCAATAAATATTTGTTAAAGATATGAATTAAGGATCACAGCCAGATCTGCAGCTGGCCGGGCACCGTTCTGGGATCCCCGTGCCCCACCACGACGGCACACTCCTTCGCTCTCAGGTCATCATCTTCACCACTTTCTGGGGCCTCATCAGCATCAAGGCACCCAACCGCCGAGAGATCATCACCACGCTGGTAGCCACCGCTGTCTGCTGTTACCTCTTCTGGCTCATTGCCATGCTGTCAGCTGACTCCCCTGTTTGGGCTGCAGCTGAAGAACAGACCATCTGGTATGTGCACTTCCTGTGGGAGTGACCACTGCCACTTCAGCCCAGGTGCCCCAGCTCTCTGGGTGACCTCGGCTCAATGGTCCCTGTAGACCCCTTTGTCCCCACCCCCACAGCTGTGCCCTGGTCCCTCTGTGCTCCCTCACCCAGGGCCTTCCTGGTTCCCAGAGGTACCCCTTTCTCCAGCCAATCGGTCTGAGCTCAGAGTCAGGCTGGAGCAGGAGAGAGCCACCCTCGCACTTTCACCGCCCCTTTCCAGCAGAACCTGCCCAGGAGTTGACAAGCCTGGGATCTGCCCTGAGCAATGGGGAGTCCATGGAAGGCCATGTGTCCTGTGGAGAAGGGCCACCAGCCCAGGGAGCTCTGAGTCTGGGGTGGTCAGGCCAGAGAGGAAGCTCTGGGTGGGAGGCGGGGGCGCAGTTACCAGGTCTGCCCCATTCGGGAAGCCCCTCTGCCTCCAGGCCTCCTTACCTGGGCAGTGGAGGGAGGGGCTCCTTCCAGGGTGGCAAAGGCCTTTCTGGGAATTCATGAATTTTCTGACACAGCCAGATGTGGAATTTCTGAAAATGTTGAAGTAATGGAAAAACATTCACACCAAGAACACCATAGTAATTTGGGTCCGGATCGAAACTTGTATGTTTAATATTCTTTATAGCTGTAAAGTCACTTAAATTGGCCTGCTCAGAAAGTTGTACCTTCTCAGAATATCTGGTTCCATTCTCCTCCCACACCTGCCCGCTCTGCTCTGGGGATAAGACCCTACCTCCCCCAGAGACTCAGAAATAGGGTAGCTCCTGCACCTGGGGTGGGAGTAGGGTGGTGGGGGAGGGAAAGAATCACCGCCATATTCCTGCTTTAGTTATCTTGATACCTGTCTGAGAAGACTGCAGTGCTATTGCAAGAAACTCCCAATGTGACGGGTAGCACAGGATTTATCCTTCTACATTGAGCTAAATGACTGTTTTCACCTATGGTGAACAAAGACATCTTATTTATTTATTCATTCATTCATTTATAATTGTGATAAAGACTCTAGTTTGCTTTTCAAAATTGGTATTTAAATTTTAAATGATTCATTTCCACATTTAAGTGATATTGGCTTTACTAAAATTTTAGAAAAAAATTTTTAAAGGTCCACTGACTTAGAAAAACATATCACAAATCAAGCAAATTATATAATTACTAGTGGCCCGGTGCATGAAATTCGTGCACATTAAAAGGGGATTAATTAGAGGAAATATTTTAATATTGCTATTTGCCCTTTCTCTATAATAGAAGTGTCAGAGATGAAAGAAAATTAGTAAAATGTATATGAAAATCTTCCTCCTGTCAGAGTCTGGGGTGCGCCACGGGACCTAGAGTCAAGTCCCCACCCAACTGCGGCGCCTCAAAATCGCACAAGACCCAGACCCAGCCAGCCCCACCCCCATTGGGCGAGATCCAGACCCAGCCGGCCCCACGCTTGTCAAGCCCCACTGTACAAGGGGCATGGCTTGAGGTCCCCCAGCCAGGCCCAGGGCGGAGGGTGCACTTTGAGGTCCCCCATCAAGCCCCGCTGTGTGGGGGGCATGGTCTGAGATCCCCCATCAAGCCCCGCCAAGCAAGGGGTGCAGCCTCAGGTCCCCCGGCCCGGCGCCAGGTGGGGGGTGCAGCTTCAGGGCTCCCATCAAGTCCCACCTGGTGGGGAGCAGAGCCTCAGGTCCCCCGGCGCCAGGGTGGGGGGCGCCACCTGAGGTCCCCGGGCCTGGGGCAGGGGGAGCAGTCTAAGGTCCCCCAGCCCAGCACCGGGGAGGGGAGTGCACCTTGAGGTCCCCTGTCTGCTGATTGCTCATTAAGGCTCATTACGGGAACTCAGCCTGCACTGTGGGTGCAGCCCTCTTGTGTTACAGAAACCCCACCTCCGCTGTGGGCACAGCCTCTTTTTGTGATGGTGTGGTGGTCAATTTGCATATTCCCGCCTCATTAGATAGGATATATTAAATAAATATCATTGGGTTGTTTGTTTTCTTTTTTACTTTTCTTTTTATTGAGATAGAAATGACATATAACATTGTGTAAGTTTAAGGTATACAGTGTGTGGGTTTAACACATTTATATATTGCAATAGGATGACCACCATAGTGTTGGCTAGCCTTCGCCTCACATAATTATTGTTTTTGTGTGTGTGATGTGAACATTGAATATCAAGTCTCTCAGCAACTTTGAAGTACATAATACAGCACTGTTGATTGCAATCACTATGCTGTGCCTTCGAGCTCCAAAACTTATTCATCTTCTAAATGCAAATTCCTACCCTTTGACCAACTCTCCAATTGCCCCAGTCCTACTTAAAAAAAAAACCCAAATCATTTAATTAAAACAACAACCCCATTAATTTTTGTTCCTATTGTAATGTGGTGTATTTGTGGGTTTATGTCTTTAAATAACTTACATATGATGAGGACACTTGTAGGTAAGGTGATGAGAGAAAACATCTATTCTTTACTGAGATTTTAAAAACAGACCACAGCCTCTAAGCTTGAAAACAAAACCACAGTTAGATTGTGCCATATTCTGGTCTTTAGAGGGAGCCATTGCTACCATTGGCTTTCTAAATCTTAAACTTATTTATAGAGAAAATTCTCTCTGTTTTCTTAAAACCAAAGCCTTTTGAAAGTATTTAAATTAGATTTTAGCTCAGTGACTTCCCTTAAATGGCAACAATCCTAAGAGGTAGGAAGAAGTAAAAAAAATTAGTCGATTGACTAACATTGTAAAATACAGGAACGCTGCCTATTAGAATTTGAATTTATGTTTAGATTTTTTTCAGAGAGGTTTAAAGGTCCTGCTGTATTCACTAACAAAACATACCACCAGTTAGAAAATGAGGAAGAGAACCTTTTGAAAGGAAGATGACTAACCTCTCAGGGTCACAGCCTTAAGATCGTGGTGAATTAGCAAATTGCAACACACGGATTTTGCCCTAAAAAAACAAAACAAAACACAACACAAAGAAACATTCTGTACTGACTTCTCATTTTGACCCCGGTAATTACTTCTCAGCCTATAATTGTGCTTGCCCTTTAATTTCCTCCTCTGGTGATAAAGGAAGCTGCAGTTGGTAAACGTTTGAGTTGAAAACATCAAACAGGACAATTACATGAGAAAATGGACAAGCTGGGGCAGAGATGAAGGCAGGAGTCTGTGCCCTCTTGTTCCTCCATTTTCCTTTCTCTTGTTCTTTTTGCCATCATTTCTTATCATATTACCTTTTTTTCTTAACCTTTTCTGCCAGTCTTTTTCCCTTCTATCACACCTCTTCCTTAAGCTCACCAGTTAAAGCGCTGGAGAACACTTTCAACTTGGACCCCAGTAGTAACTACAATATAATGTAAAGCACATTCCCTTCTGTAGAAACATAACCCACAAGTTATTCTGTCTACAATAGCCCTGAAATGAGAATTTTTAACCTATAAAATTGTTTAACATTTTGTTTTACTTTTCATGAAAACCTATAAATCCATATCTTTCCAATTTAGTATAACCAAGGCTATGGTAAAAAAAATAACCTCTTACATCAATCGTAGCACTGTAAATTGGCATACCCTTTTTTTGATCCAGAGAATCCACTTGTAGGAAGGAGTTGGTCATAGGAAGTTAAGATGTACACAAGGGTTTTTGTCCAGGGAAGTTTATCCCAGAACTACTGATAATAGCAAAAAATTGGAAATCACCTAAATGTCCAATAGTTCTTGGTCCAGTAATCTTTGTGATTCCCCAGTTTTCTGGAAAGGCCTGGGGTTTTTACTTTGTACTTAGCACCTGAAGCTCAGTTGGTTAGGTGAAACCCCGGACGCCATGCACCTTACAGTTAATGACTGCTGGTCTTCTGAGTACTTAGAACTTCCAAATACTTTCAGTTTTAACCCCCACTACTAATATAAAAAGCTAGTTCTTTCTGAAAAGGCCCGC